GAAGTGGCAATAAAATTGGCGGGAAATCACAAAATATTGTTGTTTTCGATTTAGAAGTTTTTAGAAATATAAAAAGGCAGTTGACTTTGACGTTGAATTCATGTTAACTTGTTTTGTTTACGCGCAGTACACGCGTGTCCCAAGAGAAATAAATGTGTTATAACGATAGTGATTTGCTTTTCTGGAAAAAAAATACAAAATAAAGTGTTGTTTGGATGTAATCTTTTACGAATGTAAGTGATTATGTAAAATATTATGAATGTCAAAGAATTTCCTAAAAATTTCCTTAATAAATTCGTTTCCTTAAAAATTTCCCTAAACTGGTTCAAATTTCCTCAGTTTAATGAAATTTCCTCAAAAGTGAGAACGCTGTTTATATTCGCATAAATTATATATTATTTAATTACTATTTTCCATATTTCACGCTGACAATACGTCAGACTCCGTGTTTTCCATATGACTCCATGTTTTCCATATTTTTCTCTGACGTCAGACTCCGTGTTTTCCATATGACTCCGTGTTTTCCATATTTTTATGACGTCAGACTCCGGGACTCCGACTCCGGGACTCCGACTCCGGGGCTACGAGTCCGGAACTCCGACTCCGTGTTTTCCATCTAACCGAAATTCGATGTCTTGCGACTGATTGACAAGCGTTGCTGTGTTTACTTACATGTTAATACATTTTTTAGTATTACTGCATTCCTTAACCTCGCCCTTAATATGAAAGCCATTTCTATTTTCTAGACACGCACCTCGCAAGGAAGCTTTATTGACTATATACTAAAACAAATTGTTTTGAGTTCAGTTCACATAGCAGTCTCTTAATTCGAGCAACAGTTTAATAACTATTATTTTTAACACTTGACTAATTCAAACTTATATATGGCGAACGAAAACTGCAAACTATATAAATAAAGCGTGTCAATTTTCGACTCATTCTCAACATGCAGGATACGCTGTTACAGCGAGTTAGTTTTTGGTGGCCATGCATGCAAAAGTGGTCCGCTTATTTTGCTTACAAGTTACGTGGACGTATAATTATTGCTGTTACATAAACGTTCCGGTGTTCAAGAGCTGCATTTATATAGCCGATAAAAATTGCGTGCTCATTATGCAGGTATCAGCGGCTTTCCCGGGAGGTCGACCCCCGGGCAACTCACGGGCAACCCCCGGGCATGGCACGGAATTTGTTTTAAAATCACGCCCCGGAGACCCGGGATTTAGCCTACATTTGTATTTTGAAAATTAACCCCGGGGGCAAACGCCCGGGATTTGCATATGGACTGCTGCTATATCGGTCAGCGGTGATTCATCAAAAAAATTCTTAATTATGATTTTTGAGAACGCTTCGAACCTTCGAAGTTCGAAGCAAATTCGAAGCATTTCGAAGCACATGAACAATATACCGTTGATTGCAACTATAAAGCAGAAACATGTCATGAGAAAACGCGTCCAATTGGCTGTCAAACATGATTTGTTTGGACTTGAAATTTGGATTTGAAATATTGACACTCACAGTCAACTGTTAATATTTCAAATTTAGAAACACATTCATATTGGGCGGGGATTAGCTTGCAAACACTAAATCCGTGATTAAATTCGTCTGAATTAAATTCGACGTATGAAACAGGCCTTATATTTTGTGTTTATAGTGGACAAATTCAGTATTGCGGTTTGCAATGTTTGTACTAACTTTGTTACGTTTTCGCGGAAAAAATAATTGTAAACCGTCAAATGTTTCCAGCAAAATCATGTAAAGATTGAAGTCCAAACATGTTATGCTTCATGTCCAATTAGCCTGCGTAGCCGGCAGTTTTAAGGGTTGGGGTTGAGGCGCGGGCAACGAAAATTAGGGAGGCGAGGCAAACCGCTGGCTACGCAAGCTATGTCCAATTTATAGATCGCGTTTTCTCTGCCTCGTACCCAGGCGTTTTGGTTTGTACACGTGGGACGGCACGCGTCCCACGCAAAGGCCACGCGAGCAATAGAATAACATACCGCCTGGGTACGAGGCAGGCGTTTTCTCATGACGCGTTTCCGCTTAGTAGCAATCGATGGTAGGCGAGTGTAATTTAATCCTTTTATTTATAAATGAATAATTAGCCATCTATCCTCAATAAAAGATGGAAACACCAGAATAATTGTTTGAAACTATAAAGGGCACAAACTTTTTAAACGTTTTGTATCGGATACTGATTTATTAAATAGGTTAAAATAGCAAACGTATTAATAACAAATGTCCCGATATAAAATTGTGTATGAATTTTTAGTTCAAAAATATCTTCTTTACGGCCTACGTTTCATTGTTTATTGAACGAGATGCCCAAAATAATGTTGATAAGTATGTTAACTTACTACAAATTTCTTTGTAAATAACCATTTGTTATATTTGAAATTATTGTTTTCCAAATTTCGCCCCGGAGGTAGGGGTATTTGTGACAAAATTTTGCCCCAACCCACGGGCATTAGTGTCCTTTTGTCAAGACTGTTTTGTCAAATCCCCGGGGTGGCCCGGGGGTCGACCCCCCGGGAAAGCCGCTGATACCTGCATTATAATCGCCGATCACATGGCTTTATCACAGTCTCAAACCTTCAGACAAACATATCCACATTCCTCTTCCCCCCCCCCCCCTTCGGACATCCTAAGACATTTTTCCTCCCTCCCCCTTCGGACAGCAAAAATTTCCTCCGTGGGGGGGGGGGTATGGATCTTTTCTGGAACGACCCATTGTGCAACCACAGGTGCAACGAAGAAATACTCATGAATATTAAAATGTATACATAATGTATATATGAACAATAATACAAAGCATTGCGGGCCGCAAAGTATATTATTCGGAAAAATATAGAATTCTTCAAACATTAAATAGATATCAATACACATACAAATATAAAGCCGAATAAAATACTACCATTGGCATTGAATCAATGTACAGTAATACTTGTACTATGTGCGACTGAAAGAACAATGTTCTGAATATTTGAAGCTATTACTAAAATACGGTCAGATAGATTGGGATTTGGAATACCGAATACGTCTAAAATTTTACTAACTGTGGACTGGTCTAAATAAATGATAAATGAGCATGTATTTATTAATTTCTTCGAAATCACGAGTGTGCCAATAGTGGAAGCATGGTGGTCAAAGCCGTATCGATGACGAAATTGTCAGCAGTTTATACAGTAAATAGTACACAGCGTTTAATGTACGATATATATTTATATCTAAATGACATGCCAGCGAGGATCAACAATATAATTATTCGTACATATTTGGGTATCTTTTGTATACCTTCGCTTGCTGACTTGCTCACTAATGAGAATAATCCGTGAAGCCACGACGACCTCAAAATGTACTATACTATAGTCTGATGTCAATCCGAAGACGAAGTTCAGAATACTGTAATAGTTTCGTATATTGGATTTAAGCGATAGATTCAAGTCATTTATGATAGACTTTTTGCTGTGATGCTTTGTTATTGCTTTTGGTTTCCATTTCTAGTTTTATTTGTTCGATAGTCTTATAATATATAATATTAAAATGAATAAAGTTCAAATTCTTCAAAATGCTGTTGTTGACATTTGCTATTTTTAGTAATTTTGTCAACGAGTGTAAGCCAATCAGAAGCCTGTGTTTCTATACGAACGCCACTACCAAGAAAACCTATAGTTCCGTGCGGGCCCTCTATTCTTCGCGCCGCCCGTAACCCAGGGCCTGTTCGCAGGCTAACCTTCACCACGCGATACAAACTTTCCACACTGGGACATTTTGCAGTTGTCTGTTACAGATACTGAGATAGTAGAGAGTTTGAGCAAGACAACGAATTACGAAAACAAAGGCATACTTGACAATTTTCTCCGTCTGCACATTATCTTGCGCATACTGAGTTGGACGTCACTGGTGGTTGCTCAATGTGTTTTCCTGTGTGTCGCTGTTCAAGAATACTGACCCTAATTCTTGCCCTGACTCAGACAAAACAGCGAGACATGAAACTATATATCCCATCTTTGTTCTTCTGCCTTTGTGCAGTACTTACCAAGTTCATGACGAATTTTGCCAAAATATTCGTTCGGACAAAGGTAGAAGAACGAAGACAGGATATGGATTGAATTTCATATCTCGCTGTTTTGTCCTGATCAGGGTAGGGATTTGGGTCATCATTCATAAACAGCTAGACATAAATCTCTAATCTGTCTTCACCCCTGACCCTAAACTCAGAATGCGCAAGACAATGGTGCAAGACAGGCAAAAATTGTCAACTATGTCATCGTCGTCCTACTTCGTTCTCTTGCTCAAACTGTCCAATGTGGCAAGAACATCAGCAACCCACTCATCCTGGTAGCTCGGGGGCTACTTTTTAGTTCTTACCCCATTATATGACGTCATACTGTGTATCTACAGTATAACTGAACAGACAAACGGCAAAATGTTATCTATTTGTTAATAAATAAAGTATAATTTTAAATATAATACAGTAATACTGTATATATAATAGACAAGTGATTATTTGGTTTCAATGAATAAACCCACCTTCCATTGCCACTATGGATTCCTCCTAATGTTGTCGCAGTAGCAGACGTACTAGTAGCAGTTTTAGACTGGAGAGCTTGGACTTGTAGACCACTTTGTAAACCGCTCAAACCAGAAGCCATGTTTCTCACTTTCGTCACAGAATAATTTGTGCTTTCGTTTACAAATTACCTTCCTGACCCCCCGTCCGAAAAAAAATCTCGTGCTGTGTTTCCACTTGTGGCCCTAGTGTGCAAAACTTGCACTGTCAAAAACTCAAAAGTTGAAGGATTTTGTGATGTCTAAATGGGTTAAATAGTTTATTATTAAAAGCAATAAAACACTGCACTATTTCTAAATTTATTTTCTATCATCTATTCCAGGCGGTTGTAATAAGCCTTCTCGAAATTCTCATCTTGAACGTGGAAATTCACGCGATTTTCAGTTGAAGCGAGACGAGAGTGGTGAGATTCGCGGGATAAAAATTCCTTCGAAATTAATTTGGAATCAAATATGGCGAAATGTTTGTGAAATTGTATTACATATTTTAACCATGGCTTGGCTGTGTTATAATCATGGAGAATTACTAAAATAAGAATGCATTGGATATATTCCAACTATGGATTCTATAAAAACTGCCAAGGTTAGTTTAAAAATATTTAGATGCATGTATACGTGTCATGCCAGCCACCGACACGGCGACACAGCTTGATAAAAATATTCAGGTAGGGGCATTGAAATGTCGAATAAGGGTTGACGATTGTGAGGTTAATGAATATTCACGCAGACATTGGTATGATGTGTACTTTTCATATGCAAATATAGAGTAGTAGTGTATAAAATACTGTACCTGTTGTCAATAAAAAATATAATTTGGGACTGCCGACTTCAACTACTGTTTACAGAAAATGTTAACCCAAACAATGATTGAGGATCTAGTGCCTTTCTGGTCAGCATTTTTAATACAATTTATGCCAGTGTAGTGTACGTATGCTGAAAAAATGGCCAACATTAGAATGTATACCATAAACTATTGCTATAATATGTGAGTGCCAGAAAACTATCAACATTGCAATGTTTACTGAGATCACTTGCTCGAACACTCGCTTCCACTTCAACTGGCCTTGCTCGCATATTCCACCCAAAAGTGTGTAGGGTTTGAGTTCAGTGATGCTCGATCATGACTGACAAGCAATGGGTTGTTCCAGAAAAGATCCACACAGTGTACTGGATCTTTTCTGGAACAACCCACCACACTCCCCTTATGGAGGAAATTTCTGATAATAGTAAGTGTATTATTTAGGACATCCAAAAGAGTGTAGTGGGGGGTGTTAACTTCCAATTTCTGCAATTTCCTTCATTGGGGAAGTATGGAATAATCCCAGGTTGACAATCTTGCCAAGATCCCGGCAAGATCTTGACAAGATCCAGGGTCCGAATTAACGCTTCGCAAATCGCAAAATGCGAAGCGATTTTGAGTATTGCGTAAAATTGTGAAACAATTTTTCTAAAAGTTGCGAAGCTTCTTTAGTAATGCTTGATATCCAGCTTTCTTGGAACATTTCACTGGAATGTCTCGGACATTTGTGTGGAGCATCTCACTTTTCAGTTCTGCGTGTGTGCTTCAGACTAAAGTGCTTTGACAAATGCGACGTGTTAGGTTGACATCATAGCTGTCAACTCGAGAGTGGAAAAATAGCATTTCAAGTTCAACGGTAAGAACGACAATTCATTGTTTGTTTAGCCATTTGGTTCACTGTTAATTTAAAGTTATATAACTTGCATCTTAGCATTTTAAAGAAGATGGCTTATGATAGAAATCATAGAATTTTAAACGTGCATAATTCGTAATCGCGAGGGCCATGCCCCATTGTGAATTATCCCTACGTTTAAGATCTACTTGACATAAATACAGCAATTCCTTGACTTCACCAAAGTTTATTGATTGAAATTTAGTGTTGTTAAGGTTGCTTTCCAGTTATGCATTTTTCATATGCGTGCGTACACGCATGGAAAAGTTTAAATCCATTTAAAAGTTTCTTATGAAATAATTAAATGAATAAAAGGCCAGCATTTAGTTTTGTGAATTATTTAAAGCCTATTTGTTGAGGTAGTTAGTACTTAAATAAAATTTAGAAAGATTTAAACTTTTCCATATGACATACGTATGTGAAAACATAACGTTTTGACATTCAGCACATGGTATAACATAATTTGCTAATTGCTTCGATACTTGTCACAGGTTGCCTAAATGTTTATACAATTGCGAGAGCAAGCATATTAATTTGTTAGAATGTAGCGCTTTTGATTGCAATTATGTTCTAAATGCCTTAGGCTTAGGCGCTTAGCAAATTCATTGCATGCTCGCACATTCCTGTTCGGCTTTTTGTGATGCCCAAAAAATTTTTCAAAAAAATCCGAAGTGTTTTTTAGCAGTAATTCGGACCCTGAGATCTTACCAAAATCCTGCCAAAATCTTACATAAATCCTGCAAGATCATGGAAAGATTTCCAAGTTCTTACAGGATCTTACCTAAGATCTTGCAGGATCTTGCAAGATCTTGCCATGATCCTGCAAGATCTTACCAAAAATCCTGCAAGATCTTGCCATGACCCTGCAAGATCTTACAAAAAATCCTGCAAGATCTTGCCAAGATCTTGCCATGATCCTGCAAGATCTTACCAAAAATCCTGCAAGATCTTGCCATGATCCTGCAAGATCTTACCAAAAATCCTGCAAGACCTTGCCATGATCCTGCAAGATCTTACCAAAAATCCTGCAAGATCTTGCCATGATCCTGCAAGATCTTACCAAAAATTCAGCAAGATCTTGCCATGATCCTGCAAGATCTTACCCAAGATGTTGCCAAGATCTTACATAAATCCTGCAAGATCATGGAAAGATCTTGCAGGATCTTGCAAGATCTTTCCAAGTTCTTACAGGACTTACCTAAGATCTTACAGGATCTTGCCAGATCTTGCCATGATCCTGCAAGATCTTACCAAAAATCCTGCAAGATTTTGCCATGACCCTGCAAGATCTTACCCAAGATCTTGCCAAGATACAAACTGTACAACGTCAATTAATGCATATAGGACCGCTCTTTACTATAATTTTTATTTACCTGTATTCAATATTCTTCAAAATATGAAGTCTGGCATCATGCTTTACTTCGAATGTACTGTTTTTCAATATTTTCTTTCGTTTTCGAACTAGAATAAATAATTATCTTGCTCATACGAAATAAATATTTTATGACGAACATTACAAATGAAACACCAAATACCGCGTGGTTGTGAATATTTACATTATTTCAGGGCGCCAGTAAATTTGCCAAAAGTACCACTTTTCTCAATGCCGTACTTACTGTTGTATATTCCAGCGAGGACATTTACTGTACGCACGTTCAAGTCTGTGGTTACTAGGGAACTTAGCCATGCATTTTTTATATAAATTATATTAAAATTGCCCACACAATATTCTTTGCTAGGCCATGAAACCATATCCGTAAATGCGGCGGAATACGTAGAGGGGCAGGAGTGTAAACTGCCGTGTACCTTGTATGTTTGACGTATATGACCCAATTAAAATTTATAGTTACCGAACACAACATTGTCTTTTAAACATTTTCGTCAAAAACAGCCATATGACCATATCATTGACATTGAAAAGACCAACCCAAATATTAAGCAAAAACACAGTCCATGCACAAACAGGGAATGCTGAGGGGACTCTTCTTGGTGTAAAGTGAATTCTCCACTGGAGGGCATGCTGCCAAGCAAATTTTAAAAATTACAAGCCCTAAAAATGCATTTAGTACATACAGCCATTTCTCACAGTAATCTGAAATATTGAATATTAAAGATTCTGAACAAATATTTCACTTCCTCTCCAGAATATTTATAACTATAAATCATCAAATCTCCAATGATGGAATGTTCTTATCAAATTTCTTCTAGACTAAAATACATATTTAACATTTTGTTTGGGTCAATGGATAATTGGCTTTTCTAAATTTGCTCGCAGCTCACATCAGAATGCAGGTCCACTCGCAGCTCGCACCTGATCAATGCAAATCACTTGCAGCTATGCGTAGGGAACTTGATACATGTTTTCCAACATGAAAGATCGATCAAAATTTATTTTGTATATTTTACTTTTATATTATACACATACATATACATATACTGTAGTACATTACAATGAGGCATTGACAAGGTACACTAATTTATATTGTACTGCACTTCACCTTGCATTATTTACTAATGAGAGCAAGGTTCCAAGACCAAAAAGTACTGTATGTGTGACGTAATTATCGGAAGGGTGTATTGTTCTCAGTCAAATACCACATGAGTATACGTAAATACATGATTCTCACTATCTGCAAACTTACCTTTTGCTGGAACCATATTATATGAGCAGTAAACTTCCCAACGTATTCAAACCATAAATAAGCACTGGTATATAATGTAAGTCTGACATATACTTGGCACAAGACATAATTGGACTGATGGGAGTAAGGAACCATACTGGAAAGTTGTATGTTAATATTGAATACAAATTTAGTTTATTTTATATGCCTGGTTGGTGTACATGAAAGGTTATTTATGGAAGAACAACAGGATTTATAACATTTTTATCTATTTGACTGGTCTACAAAAGTCAGAAAACAATTGGCTAGCATAATCTTTGGTGTAGAGGGAATGAACTCTTCACTATGGCTAATTGTAGTGTTCAACTGTATGTGTTTGTGTATGCAATTGTGCTACTTGTTCTGACTCATACTGTGTGTTAGGCCACTGAATTATGAACACATTTTAGAAACCTGACGTGTATACTTTATACTTTATGAACTTAATTACACAACAACACTTAAGACATGAAGTACTGTACATATACGCAGTAGCTTTCTACACTTCCAACTCCCTCAAAAGGATAATTTATTAATGGCCTGCCCCATATAATTACTGTGACCTGGTCTTTCAGTATATAGCAGAAAAGAGACTGGGACTGATATATCCCCCCACCAGAAAGAGGTGTGTCCAAATTAGGTGAATTTAAAGGATTCTTGGCTTATTGCCAAAGATTGTAGCTCGAATGAAAAATAGTCAACATTTGGATTATAACTGGTTACTAAAATTGTTTTGTTAAAAGATTAGTAAGACTGGTCGTAGCTTAAAGTTGTTTTTTGTCTTCGTTTAAAAGTTTCTCAGCAGCTGGTTTTTAACTAAACCTGCTGACAGTTAACCACGTGGCCGTATGTTTATCTAAAGTGGGTTTTATATGCACTTTCAACTTGTTCCAAGTAAACATACTGTTAATAGCTAATGAGATATTGGAGCCAAGGAAAAATTAGTATTGGTAGACGAATAGTGCTCTTTTATCTAAAACCACAGAATAGCCATAGGGAACAGGGTTCGAATTAGAAAGAAAAAGTCGACTCACAATTTTTTTAATTTGCGAATTTTGAAATTCTTGCCCCTAAAAATTATATCCGCCCCTTTCCAGAAAACTTGCTTTAAAAGACAGTATATTGTTAACAATTTACTATAAGTGAACAAAAAATTGGCGCTTTGTGTAGCCAATGGTTGTTAAATCACGAGAAAGTGGGATTTTATGTTCGCGATGGCGAAAACCACTGATTGGCGTTCCAGGACGGGAAACCACTGATTGGCGTCCCAGGACGGGATTGGTATTTTATGTTCACAATTGGTGTCCCAGACCCTGTCAAGCTTGTAAACACACTAATACACTGCCCGAATTTGATCCTACCATACCACCCTGATAGTGATCAGAAATAACCTACAGTATAACAGAAAACGCATACGGAATGTGTTCCATTTCGTGTTCGTCTACACTCATCACCACCATCCTCTTATATGCAGGGAAGAAATCCTTAGATCACTCTAGGTCTAGTGAGTTGTCCGTTTCCATCATTAGTGCATCGTGTATTGCCCCTGTCCATCTACATCTTCACATTACAGAAACTTAAAATGAACTGCTAATTATTGCTGAATGCAAAAAGCATGCACTCTAAAAACACCCTGGTTAAAAAATTCTAAAATTAAAAAAAATCTAAATTTAACCCTGCTTGGGGGTAACTTAATGTTCCTCGTTAAATTTCCTGGTTAATTTAACCACAGTCCTGGTTAATTCAAGGATTCCTTGTTAATAATCCACTTAGCACAATCTCCTTGTATATTTGGGGCAACAGACGGACTGGTTCTACTCGGGTGTATTTGATAATTCTGTAGATACACAAAGTCAGGAATTATTGAATAAGATCTTGAATATTGTTGATAACTCTGTGCCAACTATTAAGCTAAAAACTACGAAGGAAGGAATTCCAATTAAGAAAGCGCCATGGGAATGCTCTAGACTTCAGCATTCTAGGAAAGCAAAAGATAAAGCTTGGCACTGTTTTGATACGTCCCCCACACATTACAATCTTATGTCTGCTATTGAGGCTCAAGATCAATATAAGACTATAGAACGGGAAAGTAAGGAAAGTTATGAGATAAAATTGGCTAAAGGAATAAAATACAATTCTAAGCAGTTCTATGCATACTTACGTAGTAAGAAAAAGTCCAATCCTACTGTATCTAAGTTCAAAAAGCCTAATGGAGAATTTACAACTAGTGTAAAGGAGTCTGCTGATTTGCTTGTCAAATCTTTTGCAACTGTTTTTACAAACGAGACTTCACTCACTCGCGATTGTAACATGGATATTATCGCTGTTAAACAAATTGATCCACTAATAATTAGTGACTATGATGTGAAAAATGAGCTGCTGGCTCTAGATGTCTCAAAGTGTGCTGGGCCAGATGGAGTTCATCCAAAAATTGTTAGAATTTTAGCGGGAAATGATAATTTTGTGAGTGCCGTAACAGCTTTATATAGATCTATTTCAGACGTCAGACAATTCCCAGAAGCTTGGAAGAGAGCAATTATAATTGCATTACATAAAATGGGGCATTTAGTGATGCTGGAAATTATCGACCAATTTCTCTAACTTGCATCCTATGTAAAGTGTATGAAAAGCTTTTGTTTAAACATCTGTACAGTCATGTTAAGGGATTTATTAGTCGGAATCAGCATGGGTTTATGGAAGGGAAGTCTTGTCTCTCTAACTTGTTGGAATCACTACAATATATTATCACGTTTTTGGATAGTGAAGATCCTGTTGATCTTATATATTTGGATTTTCAAAAAGCTTTTGATAAGGTTGCACACGAAAGATTGTTGTTAAAGTTAGAAAGTTACGGAATTACTGGGCAGGTTCATGACATTATAAGGAACTTCCTGACAGGTAGATCAATGGCAGTACGTGTGGGAGATCATATTTCATCATGGGAGCCTGTTACTTCTGGAGTCCCCCAAGGGTCTGTTTTGGGACCCTTGTTATTTATATTATTTATTAATGACATGCCACAAGTTACTAAATTTAATACTGTGCTTTTCGCTGATGATTCCAAAGTTATTGGTAATGCATATTATCCGGAAGATATTCAAACAGACATTGACTGTCTCAGTAGGTGGTCAGAAATATGGCAGATGAAATTTAATGTGGAAAAGTGTGGTGTACTTCACATCGGAGAGAGCAATCCGCAACATGGCTATACATTGGATGGTATTCAACTAAAAAGTGTACAGAAAGAAAAGGATTTGGGGGTAACCTGGTCTGCCGGGAAGTCCTTATTTGATGATCATATTCGAGAAGGAATCGGAAAGGCCAAGAGGATGATTGCCTGGTTAATAAGAAATTTTGTATCTCGTAAACATGAAGTGTTGGTTCCTCTTTACAAGGCCTTTGTGAGGCCCCATCTGGAGTATTGTGTGCAAGTTTGGTCCCCAGTAGCAAAGCATGGTAATTGGGGTATAATTATGGCAATTGAAAAATGTCAAAGGGATTTTACTAGAATAATTCATGGTATGGGTTTTCTCAGCTATAGTGAGAGACTTCAAAAGCTGGGACTGACAACACTTCTCGAACGTAGAATGCGGGGTGATCTTATTGAAGCATACAAGATTATTAACGGACATGTTAACTATGGCCATCAAATGTTTAACCATAATTTGCATTATAGTACTCGTAATTTATGCAATGTATCATCCTGTAGGACCAGATTTGCGTTAGATTGTTTTAGCGTAAGAGTAATTAAGTATTGGAACAATTTACCAAACTCTGTTAAGTATGCACCTAGTGTAAACGCCTTTAAGGCAGGACTTGATGATCTAAAAAGTTATAACCCGGATTCTCGTCACGGATATTGGTATTTATCGCAAGAAATCTTTAACAGAATTCCGGATAAGAATGACCATGTTACTTATCTTAAATTGCATCCAGAGGTTGCTATGCGAAGAATATTTCTTGTTTCTAATTTTTAACAATTGTAATATATATTACTGTAAGATTTATATTTCTGTAATTTTCTTAGATGCATGAGTTGCCCAGGGAGGCATAATTAAATCTTATCTTATCTTATCCTTAATTCAACCAGATTACCTGGTTAAATTAACCAGAAATCCTGACCAGTTGAATTAGCCAGGACTATGATCAAGTTATAACCAGGACTACACTTATGATCAAATTAACTAGGACTATGATCAAATTATAACCAGGACTATGATCAAATTATAACCAGGACTATGATCAAATTATAACCAGGACTATGATCAAATTATAACCAGGACTATGATCAAATTATAACCAGGACTATGATCACATTAACCAGGACTATGATCAAATTAACCAGGACTATGATCAAATTAACCAGGACTGTGATCAAATTATAACCAGGACTATGATCAAATTATAACCAGGACTATGATCAAATTATAACCAGGACTATGATCAAATTATAACCAGGACTATGATCACATTAACCAGGACTATGATCAAATTAACCAGGACTATGATCAAATTAACCAGGACTGTGATCAAATTATAACCAGGACTATGATCAAATTATAACCAGGACTATGATCAAATTATAACCAGGACTATGATCAAATTATAACCAGGACTATGATCAAATTATAACCAGGACTATGATCAAATTAACCAGGACTATGATCAAATTAACCAGGACTGTGATCAAATTAACCAGGACTATGATCAAATTAACCAGGACTATGATCAAATTAACCAGGACTATGATCAAATTATAACCAGGACTATGATCAAATTAACCAGGACTATGATCAAATTATAACCAGGACTATGATCAAATTAACCAGGACTGTGGTTAAATTAACCAGGGAATTTAACCAGGTACGTCAAGTTACCCCCAACAGTGTTAATTTTTGATTAAGCAAGAAATTTTTAACCGGTGTCCCAGCAGATTTGGACCCCTCTCAAAATGGACCCCCCAATCCGCTAGCGAATATGTGCCTTTGGGGGTCTTTATTCGCTAGCGGATTTGGACTCTCCTCGCGAATTTGGACCCCTCGCGTATTTTATCGTTGTATCGTATTGTATTTAGAATATTGTATCAAAGCGTTCTAAATCGTCTTAAGTCGTCATAAATCTCATCTGATTTATTTTGAAAAGCGTACGAAGATTTGTAGATTAAAAAATTCCATCGAAGCTTAGTTGTTTATTCCGTCAAAGTTTATAATTTATAATTTTCCTGCGTTTATTTCTATATATGATCTTTGAATGTGCGAGAAGCGCTTCATAGAGTATGGAGAAAATCATGGAGTATGGAGAAAATCATGTAGATTCCTCAAATTAAAGTTCGTCGTATACTAATATTAGTTCGTCCTATATTAATATTAGATTATTATAATCGATGCGGACAACAAATGTTAGTATACTGTAATGATAGTTAAGTCCTCAACGTATTTTACTGAATTTTATTTCCGCAGGTGGAAAATGTTCGCCTTATAGATCGACATCAGAATCAAAAAGCAACAAGTGGTACATTATATGTGACGGCCACGCATCTTATTTTTGTTGATCCCGCTGGGAAACGTGAAACATGGGTAAGTATACCAGATGTAGTGGCAAATGTTTGGTTCAGTAAAACGACTGTTTGGTTCAGTAAAACACCTTTTCACTGAGACTTATAATCATACAGTACTTGGCTGAAGATTGAAGAACGCCAAGGACTGCGTGCTAGTTGTACAGTTACAGAAAGCATGCAGAATAAAGGGAACGTGTCCGATATTTCATGATTGACTTAAGTGAAAGAAATCTTTACAATAAATGCCTTATATATACAGTACCTGTAGTTTTATAAATTTGTAGTAACCTTGAGTTGTGATCATTGTGCGGTAAGGGTAAATATTTTAAATTTTGGGCATCTCGTATTCTCGTCCGATAGAACACGATGTTGAATAACGTTGTCCTTGTGTACATTGGCTTCACCTTGGTATACACATGAACTTGTAGTTAGCTGTGGCAATCCGATACTGTATAGCTCAGTGGTCACTCACGTTTTGGAATGGATTATCGCTCTTGAAGTAGGATATTATAGGTTTAGTTTGTTTTAAGAAGCTTAGGAGAAATCGTTTATCTTTAATCATCAATTTAGTCACCATCCTGTCTTCTGTTAGCTGCAGGCGATCCATCGCAGCGTCAAGAAAGGATAATTTTTTGTTGTAAAGTTTGTCGTCAACAAATTATGTTGCGATTCGATTCGCGAGAAAAAATTCGCCAACAGTAGTAGAAAACGGAAAACGGGTTTTCTGGCATTAGCGACCTCATTCGCAGTACTAATTGATCTTCTATATCTTTCTGTTTCTAGATCATTCATCACCACATTCAGGTTGTTGAGAAGTTGCCTCTCACGACTGTCGGTTCACCATTGCGTGTCTCAAGCAAGAATTTTCTCAATGTAACTTTCATTATTCCCAGAGAGCGTGAGTGTCAAGATGTGTATGCCTCGCTTGTGGAACTTTCTACTCCAGGTATGTGTGCTGCTTCACTGTCTGCATATCTCAAATGCGCGGGTTCACCAGGTGTTACTACAGTATAAGGCAAGGCGGTCCATCTGCAATATGCAGCATTTTGATTGGTTTTTGAGCGATCGGTAACCTGCGGTACGGATCGCTCACTGATCTCATAGTACAATGACCGCCTCCCGCTCAATCAATAGAGAGGTTAAGATACCCCGGTTTCGGTGTACGTGTACGGGTAGCATGATTTTGGTTAGCAATATTTTCGTCTATGTCTGTACCTTTACTCGTAATTAAGGTGCACATTTTTTGCATTATATCATTGTCTATTGCAAGAAAACAGAAAAACTATGATCGAATAACAGACATCAGTAAACCAAGATGACACTACTCGTACCCGTACACCGAAACCGGGGTATCTTAACCTCTCTAATAACATATATGTACATGCCATGTTTTCTGCCATTTACAATACACCCTTCCGGAAAGTACGTCACTTTGGCTATGGAGCCTCGTTTAATTTAAAATTTAATTTAATTTAAAAATTTATATTGCGCGTGTTACATAGGAAGATGCTCACTCGCGCATTACATCAAAATAGAAAATTGGAATATTACACTAATTTAAAAACCGTCCTACAATAAATCCAAGAACCTACAGGGCTGCTATATATTACTTGTCCTAATTATGACAGCATGGAGGAAAATGTCTTGGAGAAAAACGAGGCAAAGGGACGTACTTTCCGGAAGGGTGTATTGGCTGTTTGGATATTGTTTTTCATCTGTGTAACTACATACTGTATGAGAAGCAAGGGAAAAGCTTCAGTGCACTCATTGTACCTTGAGCCTAATGTCACATACACGGAAACGAGGCAAAGGGACGTACTTTCTGGAAGGGTGTATTGGTTGTTTGGATATTGTTTTTCATCTGTGTAACTATGAGAAGCAAGGAAAAAGCTTCAGTGCACTCCTTGTACATAAGAGAAGAAGAGTCATTTTCTATACGGTTGACCACCATCTAAGTTCCTTGAATGTTTGCATGGCAAAAAACAGTATAATTATTATACAGTATACCAAGTGTCAAAGTTCATGTTTTCTTGCATCTCATTGGATGAGAGCATATCACGTTTATCCTTTTGATTTGTGGAAAACACCACGTATTATTATTACAATAATAAATATGGGGATAATACTGACCAGCATCCGACCCGCTGTATGCATGTTAGTGGTCTGTTAAAGCCACCTATTTCAAGTCACTATATAATTATAATAACCGCTTTCTCCTTGCGAAAACGTTATTTACAAAACCGTTATTGAGACGTTTGCAGGAACTATATTTTTATTGCTTGTTAAAAGACTATTTAAAGGATAGAGAATTTTAAACTAACAAAGAAAGAATGTTAAAATATACTAGTAGCCATTTGATGTAATGATGAATTTTTGGCCAGCATGCCTGACGATGAATTTGCAATTCTAAACTAAACCATGACTATAGCTGTGGCATCTCTTTTTTAGACAAACTTGAACAACTTTATGCATTTTCATACAACCCACGAGATGATAAGATGAGTATTTCTGCAGGATGGGTCTTGTATGATCCAGGACTAGAGTTTGGTAGAATGGAAATTACTTCAGATACTTGGGAAGCTTCAGACTTGAACGAAGAATATAAAGTATGTATTAAATGAGTTGCTAAAACATTTTAATTGATTCTTCTCAGAAATACTGTTAATTTACCTACCACGTAGTACATTGTTTTTGAATACAGGAAAATATTTGTTTTATCATGTGCTTTACAGTAACAGTTTGACTTTCTCTTTGATTCTATGACCGTTGCTCTGGTGTTGCCACTTTACTTTTTATTGCCTTGTTTGTTGCAGCAAAGTTTTTGTTACCCCTCCGCCCTTTCCCCATCAATTTTGTTGTATATACATGACCGCAGAGATACAGACAACTATTAATTATATATTTCACTAAATTATCACTACTGCGACCTGCCTCGGCAGAATTGTCAGAAAATTGTCAGAAATGACTAATGCTGTATTGTTGCTGTGATAATACTTCTTACTACCAAGCTTAGTGTAGTCTGGACCAAAAACGGTACCTACTCTACGTCCAAGCACTAATAGTCTATCATTAATTTGTTTTATTTGTTTAGCTCTGTGATACATACCCAAGAATTCTATTCTTGCCTGCGTCGGCTACCAAGGAAACAGCGATAGGAAGTGCCTTGTTTCGCAGCAGAAATAGACTTCCTACCCTCTCATATTTTCATAAAGCAACAAAGGTGCGCAAAATACGTTTCATTTTAATCATTAATGGGGAAAACCCTGATCATTAATTAGAACTATTTTTACCCATCTAAAACCTCAAGATGGGTTCCTATATCCAAACTTTAAAAACTACTGTACCTATTTAAAGGGATAAAAAATAAAAAAATCTTGTTTGAAAGAAATTTTAAAATTATTTGAAAAAATCCTTTGACAGCTTTTGAAATCTTGTTTAGTTTTTGAGCGGATATTTCGACCGAAAAGTTGTCTGCCATTTTGGATATTGTGGATGTTACGTCACAACCAGGATCACATAAATATTTTACCCAGATAGGCGACCAAATTTATACTTCGGTCACTATTTCATAACTGAACACATTTTAAACATCTAATAATATACATAAAAATATTACTCGACTGTGATTGGTTGATTTCAGTGCAGTTAATCTCAAACAGCAGTGCAAAAATCTGTACAGTGTAAGTGAGTTTTTCAAAGACCTCAAATAGCTCGTCCTTCGCACTCGTGCTATTTTGATGCTCTTTGAAAAACTCGCTCGTGCATGTTTTATCCAAATTGCACTCGAAACCATCCTATTACTTAATACACCACTAACTGTTATTTGGTCACGTATAAATCATGTTCAACACGAGAAATAAATCTGGTATTTCCAAGCGCCCGTGTATTTTTCTGTTTATTATATAAACAAAATTGAAAAACAATAAAACATCCGTGCCAATTCGTTTTACAACAAGTTCTCTGATTGGTGTTTGCAAAAATGATATTTTCACACGTAAAAATATCGTGTGTTTAAATTTTTTACGTGTGTTTAAATACGATTTTTCTCAGTGGCCAAAAACTCTATATAACACTTATGTTTATATAATATATAGTTTTATACGGCTAACCCTTCTTATACCTCACCAAAACGATCGTTATTAAGGTCAAATGAATCCAAGATGCCGGACAACTCGTTACCTCAATGTTTTCATTCAAAATACTTCAAGAACGAAGCAACATGGGAAAAATCGATCAAGGAGTTATATTAAGTTCTTTCAAATGCGATTATATAGGTATTGTCATTTCCCTTTCTGGTATTTTATAAATTGTACATTTTAATTAGGCAGCCATCTGTCGTTCAAGTCAACCTTTATCAGGATTAAACACACGTTCTGTTGATGACGAGCAAATGGTTAATGCTATTCTCAAGTCAAATCCAAACGCCAAACAATTGTACATTGTGGATACGAGACCAAAGGTGCAGTATGTTAGAAAGAAATACACCCTTCCGGTAGTGGTGCACCGGAACTTGGTTCCGGCTCGTTAGTTCCGGCCGGAACCCCGATTTTTCAGAGTTCCGGTTCCGGCCGGAACTAATAAAAAAGCATGACCGGAACCGGAACTCTATCGTTTTAAGAGAGATAGAATATCAAACGTTTTTGGAAGAAATGTGGACTACACAAGGAAAATGTACACTATTAACACTTCATAATGATGTTTAACGTTTGTCAATCTTTTTATTCTAACATTTGTGAGCTCTTAACTTGATGAACTTTCCTTGAGTGTCTGCCTGTCTGGCAGCAGACAAAGTAACATATGACTATATATGACTTTGTAAATCAGTTCCGGTTCCGGCCGGAACTTAAAAAGTGGTTCTGGTACACCCTTACCTTCCGGAAAGTACATCACTTTGGTTATAGAGTCTCGTTTTTGTGATCGAGCTGTGTGGATTTAACTACTGTAATCTCACGTACACGAAAACGAGGCTGTGTAGTCAAAACGACGTACTCTCTGCAATGGTGTATTTGTTTTATCGGTATCTTGCGTGTATGAACATTGCCATTTAGAGTTAAGCGGTTGGGAATATTTGGGGTCATGTAAGTACTGTGTCTATATATGCGTAATATACGATTATTGAAGCCAGAAATTTAAACATGAAATAGAGAATACAAATTTATTTGAAAGTATGCTAAATCAGTAAAACCAACGTAATTTATATATGTTAGAAACAATGTTTAGCCATTTTTGACATATTCGTATTATTCCTTTTGATAGTTAGCGTATAGTATGGTAACGTAGAGAAGCTCTCGTCTCGCTAAATTTTGCGCGAAGGGACCGCCTTTAGCAATCGTCGTAAGGGTTTTCACGCCGATATCTTTCAGACTTTTGCCTACCTTGAGAAGCTGGATTAATGTAGCGCCTTATACGTAATGACGTGTTGTAAAATCAGTCACATGCCAACACTGGGGTCAGAGTAATCGCCTTTCACCTCGGATATTGTGGCTTCGATTCTCGCTACGGACTCATGTGAGTCACCGGAAGAGTCTGTCAACGCTCTGCCGAATGTCGTGGGTTTTCTCTCCGGTTTCCTCCCACAAGAAAAGTTGACGGGGTGGGTTAGGATAAACACAGTTAGGAATGTAATATCACAGTTGTTGTAAAGATATATACTCTAGGCTAAGTAGGGAATATAAGTAACCGTAATACTTGATGTACAGTCGCTTTCATGAAAGACCTCGAATCCTTGATGAGGAGTGAGCTGAGTAATAATGTAAAGGTCGTGGACTGAAGCATGTAACAAAAGATGAACTTTTATACAACCACGGTTAATAGACCTAGAGGTACAACGTTACCCAGCTAGCCATTCCAAATTATCAGGAATAAAACTCGTCTATTTCCTTGCAGATAAACGCGATGGCTAATAGAGCTGCTGGCAAAGGTTATGAAAATACAGAATTTTACGAGAATGTCGAGTTTCAGTTTCTTGGAATAGAAAATATACATGTGATGAGACAGAGTCTTCAGAAGTTAGTTTATGGTAAGTCTTCATTTTGGTAAAAATCAACTGCACGAGCGTTGCCCACATTGTAGATATGAGAAATTTTGTAATATGTGGTTGAACGCTGTAACGCTGCAAAGGTCCTTGCAGTTACTCTCCGAACGAAGGGCTGGTCTCGTTAGGTAAGGGCTGAAACGTCATTATGGATTCATGGATGAGACATGGATGTGAGTTGAACTTCTTGAAAAAGTTGCTATCATGATTAGATGTTGATGAAAATTGTTCTCAAAGAATTTGAGTCGAATTATTCGTAGTAGAGTGCGAATTTTGGACATAATTCGACATGTCACTCTCCAGTCCAGAGTTGATCTAAGTCGCAGCTGCTAAAATACTGTTACGTCATCCCATTATATTTATTTGCGCCCTTGCAAACAACGCTTTTAACTTGTTGTTGATGATGTAGTAACTCGTGAGTTATTCCACGCAGTCATGTGTTTTCTTCCATACATGTGGCCTGCTACTCTAGATCACATGCTGTACGTTGGCGTATCGTTATTTTGATGTCTCAAAATTACTAAAACATTTGTTTGTCTCTTTATCCAGCGTGTGGTGAACGACAAGGTGGAGAGACATTTCTAGACAGCGTTGACAGCAGTGCTTGGTTGAAACATATAAAGTGTGTTCTCGACACATCATATTTTATTGCCAAGGTATAAAATCTTCTGTACATGGCTTCTTTCATGTGTTTTGTACGTACATATACATGTACTTGGAGCAAACAGGTATTACCCTTGACCCCTATACAAAATTGAAATTTCATGCTTGGAGGGATTAGAAGCATTTCGAAATTTCACCTTAAATCCTCTACCAAGTCCCGCATCTCACCCCCCACCCCCCACCCCCCCCATCTTTATAATAAGCAATTTTATTAAATAATTTAATTAAGCTTTTAATAAGTCTACATCACAACCATTTTCCCTCTTTCTAATAAGCCCTCTCTCTAACAAATGGCCCCTTTCTAATAAAGCCCTATGAAACGACCTGTCCCGTTACGCTTAATTGTAACGTACAGTACTTCTGCACTGACTGTTCTAAAGTACAAAGTGATTACTGTGATTTCAGGCCGTGTATGACGAGAGAAAGAGTGTGTTGGTTCACTGTAGTGACGGCTGGGATAGAACTGCACAGACCTGTTCTATTGCGGGTATCTTATTAGATCCTTTCTTCAGGACTATCCATGGCTTTCAGGTATTCATTGATTGTCCAGGCGATACAACATGCTAACTCCTAGTCTCACTTCACAAACATGACAAAGTTAGATCGTTAATGAAGGTGACTGTCGGAAGGTCCATTAATAAAAATACTTATTTCGTGATATGTACATATCAATTATACAATATTAATACACAATATGAATTAATTTAGTATACTACATAATTTGCTGTAAAACGTAATCAGGCAAGGCATGTTCATGCCCGTTGCCACTCACATTTGGATAACTCACATTCCTGTAGTTATTATTACTGTTCTGATAATGTAAGCATAGATCTTACAACATGCAAATTAATTTTAGATAGGCAGCAACATTAAATATAAGTTTCTTGTTCCTTTTCCATAAAACAAGTAAACTATTTTCAACATTAAATACGCTGTCTCACATTGCCAAATCTCATGTTAGGTTCTCATTGAGAAAGAATGGCTGTCTTTTGGACACAAGTTTGTTGACAGGTACAATTAATATAATTCTAAATTTTGGACATCTAGTCGGGCAGATATAGAAGGAAAAAACTTACGTTATCGTGGGACAATTCCATTTTGCCTTCATATTGTGCCCTGAAGGCTAGTTAGTACGTTTCTGTATGTTGGCCGCGTTAAAATTTCTTGTGGGCTCCTGCCGACACGTTTTTCTTCGAATGTTGTATTAAACTCTATTACAGTTCAAATACATGTCTAACACAAATGACTTACATCATTTGAAAGCTTGCAAAAAACTACATATAAGATATTTAAACGGTTTCCTGGGTTTTTCAAGTTCTTCTTGAGTTATGAGCTGTTGAATGCGTGTTTTCAGACTAGTACCCAGGAATTTTGCGAGATTTTGGCTGATTTGTCACATTTGAAACGGCAATAACTCGAAAACCGCTTGAACATCCCAACTAACCATTTAAATGTTTCATATGTAGTTTTTTGTTAGCTTTCTATTGATGCAAGTCATTTGTATTAGAAATGTATCAGAAATTTCACATTTTTTAACTGTAATAGAATTTAATACAAAATTCGAGGAAAAACGTGTCGGCAGGAGCCCACAAGAAATTTTAACGCGGCCAACATACAGAAACGTACTTATTAGCCTTCAGGGCACAATATGAAGGCAAAATGAAATTGCCCCACGATATGGTAAGTTTTCCATAATTTTGGTCCTCTATCTGCCTGACATCTTGCTGAATAGAACAATGTTAATTAAAAAGTTTTTTTTCGTAGATGAAATGAGCGAAACCTTTTCGACAGAAGTTGCGAGAATACAACTACAGTATAAGCCCTCCAGCAGGAATCCAACCTGCAGCCCAGCGATTCCGGGGCAGTCATCCTGGCACATACGTAAAAACGCACAAGTTGTATAACAAACCTGCAGCAGACTTGTAGCAATGCTGTTCCAACAACATGTGTTTGCACTGCTTGTTCCCAGCTTGTTAACAACTTGCTACAAGATTGTTGAGCTCAACAGACTTGGTACAAGTTGTTCCATGAACAACTTGTTATCGTCCTGCAATTCAACAATTTGTCAACAAGTTCTGAGTGACAACCTTGTAGCAACTTGATAGAATAACAGCATGTTACAACTTATTGAACTGAGTCACAGAAAGCATTTGGCGAACTCTCTGAAGAGAAGAATGAATCATTGTATTTTCCTTTCAGATGTGGATATCTGCGGAGTGATGGTAAAGAAGTCTCTCCTGTATTCACGCAGTTCTTGGATGGTGTCTGGCAATTACAACAACAATTTCCTTTTGCATTTCAATTTAACGAAAGATTTTTGCTCACTATCCATGACCATGTACATTCATGTCAGGTACATCGGCATGTAATGAATATTGCTGTTATCCCCCCCCCCCCCCCCCCCCCCCCACC